CTCAAGATCTCCAACAACTGGTACCAATGGACGCGAGTTCATGCAACCCTCAATTTGCACAACCAATGTGGACATCTCTTCGTATGTCAGCGTTCGCGTTCCAATGATTCGACGCATGTGAGACTTGGCAGTTTTTATTCCAGCCTCCCACAATCCTCCAAAGTGTGGAGCACCTGGGGGAATGAATTTCCAGGTCACACCCTGGTTGGCTAGTGAGTCATGGATCATACCCCAATCAAATTCAGCCTTTCGAAGCATCAATCGGAGCTCCGCCTCAGCGCCATGAAAAGTTGTTGCGTTGTCGCTCCAAATTTCGGACGGTGCGCCGCGCCGACCGATGAGACGACGCAGAGCAGCTAGAAAGGAATCTGACGTAAGATCACCAACGACTTCAAGGTGTACTGCCTTCACGCTCAGACAGACGAACAGAGCGATATAACCTTTAGTCGCACGGTATCCGCGACCCTTCGTAGTCTTCAATAAGAATGGCCCTGCATAGTCGACTCCACATCGTTCAAAGGGCCGTGAGGGAGTCACTCGCTCAGCTGGAAGTTGTCCCATCAACTGGCTAGCCCTCTGGATCTTTGTACGAGCACATGTGATGCACCTCCGAACATGCGCTTTGACTCGAACACGCCCTTTAATGATCCAGGCTCGTCGAATGGCGTAAGAATATGTCAGTTGAGATCCGCCGTGGAGCGATTTTTTGTGTGCCCAGTCAATAATGAGTTCAGCAAGATGACTTTGTCCTGGCAAAATGACAGGGTTCTTTTGATCATATGGCAGTGGAGAATTTTCCAATCGCCCGTCGACTCTCAAAATTCCTTTCGCATCAATGAATGGATGAAGACTGGCAAGTGAATGTCTTCGTGGTAATTCCTTACCGTGTTCCAATATTCGAAGAGTGTCGCCAAGGTAAAGGTGCTGAGTCCAATAAACGCAACCAAGAAAGGCTTGTTGCAATTCAGTTGCTTGCAATCCGTTTTTCATTAAGAGAGATCGATCCTCTTTGGGTAGCAAGATCTGTTTTATTCGCATGCACCATGCGGTGCAACGAAGAAGTTTCATCAGAGTGGAAAACTGTGAGAACGGTTCATTAACAGTTTTGAGATGACCAATGAGCACTGTTGATGGTAGTTCGCTTGTCTGTGACTGAGAAAAGGATGGTTCTTCGAATGGTGGATTGAGCGGCCATCCACTATCTTCCTGCTCTAGACACGAAGGACCGTGCCACCACAACCTCATTGCAGAAAGCGTTCCCGGGTCGGTACCACGAGTCGCAATGTCGGCAGGGTTTTCCTTCGTTGGGATGTAGTGCCACAAAACCGATGGTAGAGATCGTTGGATTTTTGAAACTCGATTGGCAATGTAAACTGGCCACCGGGATGGATCAGAAGACCTAAGCCAATGAAGCACGATTTGTGAGTCGGACCAGGCGTAAATAGAAGAGTCGGACAACCTCAGTTCAGTAATAACGCGCGTAAGAAGCTCGATTACCAGCACGGCAGCACACAACTCCAAACGTGGGATAGAGATAGTTTTTACTGGTGCTACTCGTGTTTTTGAGGCAACGATTCTGGATAGAAATGTTCCATTTGATTTTCGAATCCGCAAGAACACCACTGCAGCATACGCAATGGCGCTTGCATCGCCAAAGCCATGGAGTTCAATTAAATCATCAGGTTGAGTCCCGATCCAGCGTGGACATCGTATCATTGAGAGAAGTGGCAAGTGATCGATAAAGGCAAGCCATCTTTGGGTTAGTGTTGCCGGCAGGTGATCGTCCCAGTCAAGTTGGTTTCGCCACAAGTCTTGCATTAGGACCTTCGCGACAATAATTATAGGAGCCAGCCATCCGACAGGATCAAATAAACGAGCCACTGTTGCAAGGATGCTTCTCTTAGTCGGTGTATCAGTACGCGTAATGTCGAGGGGTTTGAAACGAAATTCATCGCTGATCGGATCCCATGAAATTCCCAACGCTCCAACGGGTCCGTCCATCTCGATTTGGCGCCAGCTGGGACGTAATCGGTGACTACTGGGAATCGTATCTAGGAGGGACGGAGAGTTCGATATCCATTTCTTTAAGTGAAATCCTCCAGAGTTCATTATCGCAATCAGTTGATCACGACACTCCAGCGCTTCTTCTTCGCTGTCAGCTCCTGCTAGAAAATCGTCAACGTAAGTGTTGTCTCGTATGATTTTGGCTGCCACCGGAAAACGATCTCCTGCGTCATCTGCTAATTGGTGCAACACTCGGATTGCCAAATAGGGAGAGCAAGTAACACCATAGGTAAGGGTGAGCAATTGAAAGTGTGTGAGCTTCTGTTCGCCTGGACGTTTCCATACTATCCGCTGAAGGTCAACGTCCGCCTCATGTACCCGTACCTGGCGATACATCATTTCGATGTCGGCGCAAAAGACAATGCGGAAGGATCGCCATCGCATTAAGACGGTTGTTAGTTCGTTTTGCAATTTCGGTCCTGAGTGTAGCAAGGTATTAGTGCAGGTTCCGTGAGATGTGGGTTTTGAAGCATTAAAGACCACCCTTATCTTAGGACGTCCATCAGCACTTTGCCAAATTGCGTGATGCGGGATATAATAGACAGGTGCTTCGCTCCTCATCGCAACATCATCGCTAATGGGTCTCATATGACCAAGTCGTTCATACTCCGTCATAAACTGTGTGTACTCCGTCGACAGACGAGGTTCTTTTTTCATGCGAAGTAACATGGAAGAAAGTACACGCTTGGCAGTAGTTAGCGATTCTCCCATTGAAAAATTGAGTGTCGAACGACGAGGAAGCCTTACAGTATATCTTCCACCGACGTCACGGCAATGCTCAGTTTGAAACAATCGTTCACACTCATGATCGTTCTCCGGGATTACTGGGTCTGCGATCTCTTCCTGAACCCAAAATCGTTACAGCAACTCGACAAGGTCGTCGTGAGATTTGACGCGCATTGCAGTGACATTAGGTGAAGCGACATGGTTCGGAACTTCTGCTGACCAGTGTGGTCCAAGGATTGTCCAACCAAAGACGGTTCGTTGAGCAATTGGTTCATTTTGACGTCCACGACGAACTCCGTCTCGAATTAACGAGCCGTAGATATCGGCACCCAAAATTATATCGATCTCTCGAGGTACTCTAAAGTCTGGATCTGCTAGACTGAGACCGTTTAAGTGAGGCCACGTTTGTTTTGAAACCGGGGATGAAGGAATCTTTAAAGATAGATTTCGGATAACTAAGGCAAATACAAGAGTCGCTGGTGGTGATTCTTGGTGTCGTATGCGAAGAGTCACGCTACGGCGAGCTGTTTCGACTTGGGTATTACCTATAGCGTGGATAGGAATTCTCACCCTCTCTGGAATTACCTTTAGAGAGCTTACCAATTTTGATGAGACTAATGTTGCTTCGGAGCCTGGATCAAAAAGAGCTCTCGCTGTGACCACTGCCCCTTCGGTTGTCTCCAGTTTTACAACAGCGGTAGCCAGCAATGGTAGTCATGAGTCAGAGGGTTTATTTTGATCACTCTGCATTTTGGTTCGAGATTGTTTTTCGGATGGTCCACCAGCACTCTCAGAGTTAGGACGTTTACGGTCAGATGCGCCGTGGATCAGAGTGTGATGCAATCCTTTGCAATGACGACATCGATTTACAGAGCGACAATTTTGAGCTTGGTGTCCTGTTCGAAGGCAGTTGAAGCAGAGTCGTAATTCTGTAACCGTTTTTCGACGTTTTGAAACATCGAGACTTTTAAATTCTGAACAGCTGCCAACGAGGTGATTATTACCACAGACGGTACAGTTCTCTTGACCAGAAGACAAGGTCATTACTCGCGGTCGTCCCTGAGAAGCCGTCGTTGAGTTTGACTTACTCTTAATCAGCGTGGAATCTGAAGCTCGAGGAAGTTCAGTCGCGTGAAGTACTCGGATTCGTCCTTGGAGAAAAGTTTCAACACGGATGAAATCTGGAATTCGATCAGCTTCCCGTATTTCATTCTCCCAGTGCTTACGAGTCGTCATGTCCATGCCGTAGGCTGCGATGAACGTAAACCAATCGTCCCATTGGTCGACAGGACGGCCGAGAGTTCTGAGTGAGTCTCGCTTTCGTACTAGAGTGTCCAGCAGCTCTTGGAGGTTTGAGCCACTTTCTGCTTTTGCTGGTTTGATTGCCAGTAAGGCTGACAAATGATCCTGCACCAAGAGGCGTTTGTTATCGAAACGAGCCAATAATAGACTCCAGGCTGTAGAATAATTCGCGTCGGTAACGGAAAGTCCGTCTAAAGCGCGTCGCGCGTCGCCCTGTACTGCTCCCTTTAGGTAGAACAACTTTTGAACAGCTGTAAGGTGCTCATCAGCATGGACAAGAGCAAGAAAAAGATCCCGGAATGGTTCCCAATCCTCACGTTTTCCGGAAAAAGTTGGCAAGTTAATTCGCGGCAGCTGACGGTGGGAAAGACCGGTAGCAGGTGAAGACTGGTGCTCCCCAACTGATGCTATTGTGTTTAAATGAAGTTGGCGATCATATAGACGGCCTAATGTTTCGGTGACGGTCAATGCGACAGTGTCAAACATGCCTTCAGTAAGATACGCTTCCTCGGCGATGCCTTCCTTAGTGACCAGTTTCATATGGTTGCGCTGCGCACGTTCCCAATAGCCCTGGAGTAGCTCAATGCGGCTCTGGACAGCGCCCGCGGTGATCTGCTCGACACCCTCGTCTAGGCATCGGGCTACGCAACTGTTAATCAACGTGATGAGCGAACCCTGGGTAGCTAATAGAGTACGCATCGCGGCGTCGAAAAGGGTTGCTGAGAAAAAAATTACTAAATAAAGTTAACCGTTAGACAGGAAAGACGTTTTTTGCATGTCACAGAACTATGCAGCGTTTTCAGGGCTTCTGTATGGCTTGTTTATTCATTTTTTTATAAGGTGTTTGGGTCTCTGAAAGCGAGCGAGTAAGGTACCCTTTTTTACTTTTGCCCTCGGCACTCGCTATCATGAGCTACAGTGTTTGGGTCTCCGTAAGCGAGCGAGTAAGGTACCCTTTTTTTACTTTTGCCCTCATCGCTCGCAATCAGAAATATCTACGGCTCGTTAATTCGAGACGGAGTTCGTCGTGGACGTCAAAATGAACCAATTGCTCAACGAACCGTCTTTGGTTGGACAATCCTTGGACCACACTGGTCAGCAGAAGTTCCGAACCATGTCGCTTCACCTAATGTCACTGCAATGCGCGTCAAATCTCACGACGACCTTGTCGAGTTGCTGGAACGATTTTGGGTTCAGGAAGAGATCGCAGACCCAGTAATCCCGGAGAACGATCATGAGTGTGAACGATTGTTTCAAACTGAGCATTGCCGTGACGTCGGTGGAAGATATACTGTAAGGCTTCCTCGTCGTTCGACACTCAATTTTTCAATGGGAGAATCGCTAACTACTGCCAAGCGTGTACTTTCTTCCATGTTACTTCGCATGAAAAAAGAACCTCGTCTGTCGACGGAGTACACACAGTTTATGACGGAGTATGAACGACTTGGTCATATGAGACCCATTAGCGATGATGTTGCGATGAGGAGCGAAGCACCTGTCTATTATATCCCGCATCACGCAATTTGGCAAAGTGCTGATGGACGTCCTAAGATAAGGGTGGTCTTTAATGCTTCAAAACCCACATCTCACGGAACCTGCACTAATACCTTGCTACACTCAGGACCGAAATTGCAAAACGAACTAACAACCGTCTTAATGCGATGGCGATTCTTCCGCATTGTCTTTTGCGCCGACATCGAAATGATGTATCGCCAGGTACGGGTACATGAGGCGGACGTTGACCTTCAGCGGATAGTATGGAAACGTCCAGGCAACCAATTAGCAGATGACGCAGGAGATCGTTTTCCGGTGGCAGCCAAAATCATACGAGACAACACTTACGTTGACGATTTTCTAGCAGGAGCTGACAGCGAAGAAGAAGCGCTGGAGTGTCGTGATCAACTGATTGCGATAATGAACTCTGGAGGATTTCACTTAAAGAAATGGATATCGAACTCTCCGTCCCTCCTAGATACGATTCCCAGTAGTCACCGATTACGTCCCAGCTGGCGCCAAATCGAGATGGACGGACCCGTTGGAGCGTTGGGAATTTCATGGGATCCGATCAGCGATGAATTTCGTTTCAAACCCCTCGACATTACGCGTACTGATACACCGACTAAGAGAAGCATCCTTGCAACAGTGGCTCGTTTATTTGATCCTGTCGGATGGCTGGCTCCTATAATTATTGTCGCGAAGGTCCTAATGCAAGACTTGTGGCGAAACCAACTTGACTGGGACGATCACCTGCCGGCAACACTAACCCAAAGATGGCTTGCCTTTATCGATCACTTGCCACTTCTCTCAATGATACGATGTCCACGCTGGATCGGGACTCAACCTGATGATTTAATTGAACTCCATGGCTTTGGCGATGCAAGCGCCATTGCGTATGCTGCAGTGGTGTTCTTGCGGATTCGAAAATCAAATGGAACATTTCTATCCAGAATCGTTGCCTCAAAAACACGAGTAGCACCAGTAAAAACTATCTCTATCCCACGTTTGGAGTTGTGTGCTGCCGTGCTGGTAATCGAGCTTCTTACGCGCGTTATTACTGAACTGAGGTTGTCCGACTCTTCTATTTACGCCTGGTCCGACTCACAAATCGTGCTTCATTGGCTTAGGTCTTCTGATCCATCCCGGTGGCCAGTTTACATTGCCAATCGAGTTTCAAAAATCCAACGATCTCTACCATCGGTTTTGTGGCACTACATCCCAACGAAGGAAAACCCTGCCGACATTGCGACTCGTGGTACCGACCCGGGAACGCTTTCTGCAATGAGGTTGTGGTGGCACGGTCCTTCGTGTCTAGAGCAGGAAGATAGTGGATGGCCGCTCAATCCACCATTCGAAGAACCATCCTTTTCTCAGTCACAGACAAGCGAACTACCATCAACAGTGCTCATTGGTCATCTCAAAACTGTTAATGAACCGTTCTCACAGTTTTCCACTCTGATGAAACTTCTTCGTTGCACCGCATGGTGCATGCGAATAAAACAGATCTTGCTACCCAAAGAGGATCGATCTCTCTTAATGAAAAACGGATTGCAAGCAACTGAATTGCAACAAGCCTTTCTTGGTTGCGTTTATTGGACTCAGCACCTTTACCTTGGCGACACTCTTCGAATATTGGAACACGGTAAGGAATTACCACGAAGACATTCACTTGCCAGTCTTCATCCATTCATTGATGCGAAAGGAATTTTGAGAGTCGACGGGCGATTGGAAAATTCTCCACTGCCATATGATCAAAAGAACCCTGTCATTTTGCCAGGACAAAGTCATCTTGCTGAACTCATTATTGACTGGGCACACAAAAAATCGCTCCACGGCGGATCTCAACTGACATATTCTTACGCCATTCGACGAGCCTGGATCATTAAAGGGCGTGTTCGAGTCAAAGCGCATGTTCGGAGGTGCATCACATGTGCTCGTACAAAGATCCAGAGGGCTAGCCAGTTGATGGGACAACTTCCAGCTGAGCGAGTGACTCCCTCACGGCCCTTTGAACGATGTGGAGTCGACTATGCAGGGCCATTCTTATTGAAGACTACGAAGGGTCGCGGATACCGTGCGACTAAAGGTTATATCGCTCTGTTCGTCTGTCTGAGCGTGAAGGCAGTACACCTTGAAGTCGTTGGTGATCTTACGTCAGATTCCTTTCTAGCTGCTCTGCGTCGTCTCATCGGTCGGCGCGGCGCACCGTCCGAAATTTGGAGCGACAACGCAACAACTTTTCATGGCGCTGAGGCGGAGCTCCGATTGATGCTTCGAAAGGCTGAATTTGATTGGGGTATGATCCATGACTCACTAGCCAACCAGGGTGTGACCTGGAAATTCATTCCCCCAGGTGCTCCACACTTTGGAGGATTGTGGGAGGCTGGAATAAAAACTGCCAAGTCTCACATGCGTCGAATCATTGGAACGCGAACGCTGACATACGAAGAGATGTCCACATTGGTTGTGCAAATTGAGGGTTGCATGAACTCGCGTCCATTGGTACCAGTTGTTGGAGATCTTGAGGACCTGGATGTTTTGACACCCGGGCACATATTGACAGGCGGACCATTATCACAACTTCCTGAATCATTAGACTTAAACCCTTGTTCGCAAAACGACAAGCATTGGCATTTGGTGAAAAAAATGAGGGATCTCTTTTGGACGCGCTGGTCTCGAGATTATCTTCATACACTCCAGCAGCGCAATAAATGGACCAGAACCCAAGCCAACATCCGACCAAACGACATCGTGTTGGTGATTGATCCTTCCTTAATGCGAGCAAATAAATGGCCTCTAGGACGAGTCCAAGAAGTTTTTCCAGGACCAGATGGACTTGTACGCACTGTACGATTACGTACAGCTTTTGGGACTTATGAAAGACCGATTCACAAAATCTCCCCCTTGCCGATATTAGTTCAGGAACAACAGTAAATCTCTGATCAAAACGATGGATTACGGCGGGCGGAGAGTTGAGCTGCTCAACCAAATTTTCTAACAATTTTCTTCATTCTTCTTTTCTCGTCCGACTCTTTTAGAACCCTTTTTTTCGTTTAATTAACGAGGCGGGCGGGATGTTATGGTTTTTTCTGTTAGGGAGAGTCCAATTCTGGATGCTCTCGTTGTTTCTCGTTATTTCGGACGGTGCGCCGCGCCGACCGATGAGACGACGCAGAGCAGCTAGAAAGGAATCTGACGTAAGATCACCAACGACTTCAAGGTGTACTGCCTTCACGCTCAGACAGACGAACAGAGCGATATAACCTTTAGTCGCACGGTATCCGCGACCCTTCGTAGTCTTCAATAAGAATGGCCCTGCATAGTCGACTCCACATCGTTCAAAGGGCCGTGAGGGAGTCACTCGCTCAGCTGGAAGTTGTCCCATCAACTGGCTAGCCCTCTGGATCTTTGTACGAGCACATGTGATGCACCGCCGAACATGCGCTTTGACTCGAACACGCCCTTTAATGATCCGGCTCGAAGGACCAAAAAATATGTTGCGAAAAAAATAGAAAAATAAAAAAAGGGTGGGATTTTGGATTGCGAATAGAGAAGGGTCGACAATAAACGGATTCGTCGATTAATTAAAAAATGTATATTTCCTTTTAACCTTTTGGTTTTCACAAACGTAGAATTTAACAGCGTAAGAACTTACAAAAAAAGAGTTGAAAATTGAATAGTATGTTGCACGTGGCGAATGGCGTCGTTGAGACTAGAGGTTCCCACGTGGCAAAAATGGCGGCAGGTGACGCTCACGTCAGCACAGGTGACTCTCAGCTCCACTCAGCAAGACGAGAGAAAAGTAACTGAGCAGTTTGGCACCGACATCGGAAAAAGAGGGGGACAGGATCTGGGCGGAACCTTTGACACGTCACGAGAGCGATCGACCAATCCCAGACATAATGAACAAGAGGCCAAAAAGGCGAAGAATAACGAGAAACAACGAGAGCATCCAGAATTGGACTCAGATTTTTTTTTTGAACAAAGTGTTGATAGTTTCTGATTGCGAGCGATGAGGGCAAAAGTAAAAAAAAGGGTACCTTACTCGCTCGCTTACGGAGACCCAAACACTGTAGCTCATGATAGCGAGTGCCGAGGGCAAAAGTAAAAAAGGGTACCTTACTCGCTCGCTTTCAGAGACCCAAACACCTTATAAAAAAATGAATAAACAAGCCATACAGAAGCCCTGAAAACGCTGCATAGTTCTGTGACATGCAAAAAACGTCTTTCCTGTCTAACGGTTAACTTTATTTAGTAATTTTTTTCTCAGCAACCCTTTTCGACGCCGCGATGCGTACTCTATTAGCTACCCAGGGTTCGCTCATCACGTTGATTAACAGTTGCGTAGCCCGATGCCTAGACGAGGGTGTCGAGCAGATCACCGCGGGCGCTGTCCAGAGCCGCATTGAGCTACTCCAGGGCTATTGGGAACGTGCGCAGCGCAACCATATGAAACTGGTCACTAAGGAAGGCATCGCCGAGGAAGCGTATCTTACTGAAGGCATGTTTGACACTGTCGCATTGACCGTCACCGAAACATTAGGCCGTCTATATGATCGCCAACTTCATTTAAACACAATAGCATCAGTTGGGGAGCACCAGTCTTCACCTGCTACCGGTCTTTCCCACCGTCAGCTGCCGCGAATTAACTTGCCAACTTTTTCCGGAAAACGTGAGGATTGGGAACCATTCCGGGATCTTTTTCTTGCTCTTGTCCATGCTGATGAGCACCTTACAGCTGTTCAAAAGTTGTTCTACCTAAAGGGAGCAGTACAGGGCGACGCGCGACGCGCTTTAGACGGACTTTCCGTTACCGACGCGAATTATTCTACAGCCTGGAGTCTATTATTGGCTCGTTTCGATAACAAACGCCTCTTGGTGCAGGATCATTTGTCAGCCTTACTGGCAATCAAACCAGCAAAAGCAGAAAGTGGCTCAAACCTCCAAGAGCTGCTGGACACTCTAGTACGAAAGCGAGACTCACTCAGAACTCTCGGCCGTCCTGTCGACCAATGGGACGATTGGTTTACGTTCATCGCAGCCTACGGCATGGACATGACGACTCGTAAGCACTGGGAGAATGAAATACGGGAAGCTGATCGAATTCCAGATTTCATCCGTGTTGAAACTTTTCTCCAAGGACGAATCCGAGTACTTCACGCGACTGAACTTCCTCGAGCTTCAGATTCCACGCTGATTAAGAGTAAGTCAAACTCAACGACGGCTTCTCAGGGACGACCGCGAGTAATGACCTTGTCTTCTGGTCAAGAGAACTGTACCGTCTGTGGTAATAATCACCTCGTTGGCAGCTGTTCAGAATTTAAAAGTCTCGATGTTTCAAAACGTCGAAAAACGGTTACAGAATTACGACTCTGCTTCAACTGCCTTCGAACAGGACACCAAGCTCAAAATTGTCGCTCTGTAAATCGATGTCGTCATTGCAAAGGATTGCATCACACTCTGATCCACGGCGCATCTGACCGTAAACGTCCTAACTCTGAGAGTGCTGGTGGACCATCCGAAAAACAATCTCGAACCAAAATGCAGAGTGATCAAAATAAACCCTCTGACTCATGACTACCATTGCTGGCTACCGCTGTTGTAAAACTGGAGACAACCGAAGGGGCAGTGGTCACAGCGAGAGCTCTTTTTGATCCAGGCTCCGAAGCAACATTAGTCTCATCAAAATTGGTAAGCTCTCTAAAGGTAATTCCAGAGAGGGTGAGAATTCCTATCCACGCTATAGGTAATACCCAAGTCGAAACAGCTCGCCGTAGCGTGACTCTTCGCATACGACACCAAGAATCACCACCAGCGACTCTTGTATTTGCCTTAGTTATCCGAAATCTATCTTTAAAGATTCCTTCATCCCCGGTTTCAAAACAAACGTGGCCTCACTTAAACGGTCTCAGTCTAGCAGATCCAGACTTTAGAGTACCTCGAGAGATCGATATAATTTTGGGTGCCGATATCTACGGCTCGTTAATTCGAGACGGAGTTCGTCGTGGACGTCAAAATGAACCAATTGCTCAACGAACCGTCTTTGGTTGGACAATCCTTGGACCACACTGGTCAGCAGAAGTTCCGAACCATGTCGCTTCACCTAATGTCACTGCAATGCGCGTCAAATCTCACGACGACCTTGTCGAGTTGCTGGAACGATTTTGGGTTCAGGAAGAGATCGCAGACCCAGTAATCCCGGAGAACGATCATGAGTGTGAACGATTGTTTCAAACTGAGCATTGCCGTGACGTCGGTGGAAGATATACTGTAAGGCTTCCTCGTCGTTCGACACTCAATTTTTCAATGGGAGAATCGCTAACTACTGCCAAGCGTGTACTTTCTTCCATGTTACTTCGCATGAAAAAAGAACCTCGTCTGTCGACGGAGTACACACAGTTTATGACGGAGTATGAACGACTTGGTCATATGAGACCCATTAGCGATGATGTTGCGATGAGGAGCGAAGCACCTGTCTATTATATCCCGCATCACGCAATTTGGCAAAGTGCTGATGGACGTCCTAAGATAAGGGTGGTCTTTAATGCTTCAAAACCCACATCTCACGGAACCTGCACTAATACCTTGCTACACTCAGGACCGAAATTGCAAAACGAACTAACAACCGTCTTAATGCGATGGCGATTCTTCCGCATTGTCTTTTGCGCCGACATCGAAATGATGTATCGCCAGGTACGGGTACATGAGGCGGACGTTGACCTTCAGCGGATAGTATGGAAACGTCCAGGCGAACAGAAGCTCACACACTTTCAATTGCTCACCCTTACCTATGGTGTTACTTGCTCTCCCTATTTGGCAATCCGAGTGTTGCACCAATTAGCAGATGACGCAGGAGATCGTTTTCCGGTGGCAGCCAAAATCATACGAGACAACACTTACGTTGACGATTTTCTAGCAGGAGCTGACAGCGAAGAAGAAGCGCTGGAGTGTCGTGATCAACTGATTGCGATAATGAACTCTGGAGGATTTCACTTAAAGAAATGGATATCGAACTCTCCGTCCCTCCTAGATACGATTCCCAGTAGTCACCGATTACGTCCCAGCTGGCGCCAAATCGAGATGGACGGACCCGTTGGAGCGTTGGGAATTTCATGGGATCCGATCAGCGATGAATTTCGTTTCAAACCCCTCGACATTACGCGTACTGATACACCGACTAAGAGAAGCATCCTTGCAACAGTGGCTCGTTTATTTGATCCTGTCGGATGGCTGGCTCCTATAATTATTGTCGCGAAGGTCCTAATGCAAGACTTGTGGCGAAACCAACTTGACTGGGACGATCACCTGCCGGCAACACTAACCCAAAGATGGCTTGCCTTTATCGATCACTTGCCACTTCTCTCAATGATACGATGTCCACGCTGGATCGGGACTCAACCTGATGATTTAATTGAACTCCATGGCTTTGGCGATGCAAGCGCCATTGCGTATGCTGCAGTGGTGTTCTTGCGGATTCGAAAATCAAATGGAACATTTCTATCCAGAATCGTTGCCTCAAAAACACGAGTAGCACCAGTAAAAACTATCTCTATCCCACGTTTGGAGTTGTGTGCTGCCGTGCTGGTAATCGAGCTTCTTACGCGCGTTATTACTGAACTGAGGTTGTCCGACTCTTCTATTTACGCCTGGTCCGACTCACAAATCGTGCTTCATTGGCTTAGGTCTTCTGATCCATCCCGGTGGCCAGTTTACATTGCCAATCGAGTTTCAAAAATCCAACGATCTCTACCATCGGTTTTGTGGCACTACATCCCAACGAAGGAAAACCCTGCCGACATTGCGACTCGTGGTACCGACCCGGGAACGCTTTCTGCAATGAGGTTGTGGTGGCACGGTCCTTCGTGTCTAGAGCAGGAAGATAGTGGATGGCCGCTCAATCCACCATTCGAAGAACCATCCTTTTCTCAGTCACAGACAAGCGAACTACCATCAACAGTGCTCATTGGTCATCTCAAAACTGTTAATGAACCGTTCTCACAGTTTTCCACTCTGATGAAACTTCTTCGTTGCACCGCATGGTGCATGCGAATAAAACAGTTACTTTTCTCTCGTCTTGCTGAGTGGAGCTGAGAGTCACCTGTGCTGACGTGAGCTTCACCTGCCGCCATTTTTGCCACGTGGGAACCTCTAGTCTCAACGACGCCATTCGCCACGTGCAACACACTATTCAATTTTCAACTCTTTTTTTGTAAGTTCTTACGCTGTTAAATTCTACGTTTGTGAAAACCAAAAGGTTAAAAGGAAATATACATTTTTTAATTAATCGACGAATCCGTTTATTGTCGACCCTTCTCTATTCGCAATCCAAGATCCCACCCTTCTTCTCAGGGACGACAGCGAGTAATGACCTTGTCTTCTGGTCAAGAGAACTGTACCGTCTGTGGTAATAATCACCTCGTTGGCAGCTGTTCAGAATTTAAAAGTCTCGATGTTTCAAAACGTCGAAAAACGGTTACAGAATTACGACTCTGCTTCAACTGCCTTCGAACAGGACACCAAGCTCAAAATTGTCGCTCTGTAAATCGATGTCGTCATTGCAAAGGATTGCATCACACTCTGATCCACGGCGCATCTGACCGTAAACGTCCTAACTCTGAGAGTGCTGGTGGACCATCCGAAAAACAATCTCGAACCAAAATGCAGAGTGATCAAAATAAACCCTCTGACTCATGACTACCATTGCTGGCTACCGCTGTTGTAAAACTGGAGACAACCGAAGGGGCAGTGGTCACAGCGAGAGCTCTTTTTGATCCAGGCTCCGAAGCAACATTAGTCTCATCAAAATTGGTAAGCTCTCTAAAGGTAATTCCAGAGAGGGTGAGAATTCCTATCCACGCTATAGGTAATACCCAAGTCGAAACAGCTCGCCGTAGCGTGACTCTTCGCATACGACACCAAGAATCACCACCAGCGACTCTTGTATTTGCCTTAGTTATCCGAAATCTATCTTTAAAGATTCCTTCATCCCCGGTTTCAAAACAAACGTGGCCTCACTTAAACGGTCTCAGTCTAGCAGATCCAGACTTTAGAGTACCTCGAGAGATCGATATAAAATTGAGTGTCGAACGACGAGGAAGCCTTACAGTATATCTTCCACCGACGTCACGGCAATGCTCAGTTTGAAACAATCGTTCACACTCATGATCGTTCTCCGGGATTACTGGGTCTGCGATCTCTTCCTGAACCCAAAATCGTTCCAGCAACTCGACAAGGTCGTCGTGAGATTTGACGCGCATTGCAGTGACATTAGGTGAAGCGACATGGTTCGGAACTTCTGCTGACCAGTGTGGTCCAAGGATTGTCCAACCAAAGACGGTTCGTTGAGCAATTGGTTCATTTTGACGTCCACGACGAACTCCGTCTCGAATTAACGAGCCGTAGATATCGGCACCCAAAATTATATCGATCTCTCGAGGTACTCTAAAGTCTGGATCTGCTAGACTGAGACCGTTTAAGTGAGGCCACGTTTGTTTTGAAACCGGGGATGAAGGAATCTTTAAAGATAGATTTCGGATAACTAAGGCAAATACAAGAGTCGCTGGTGGTGATTCTTGGTGTCGTATGCGAAGAGTCACGCTACGGCGAGCTGTTTCGACTTGGGTATTACCTATAGCGTGGATAGGAATTCTCACCCTCTCTGGAATTACCTTTAGAGAGCTTACCAATTTTGATGAGACTAATGTTGCTTCGGAGCCTGGATCAAAAAGAGCTCTCGCTGTGACCACTGCCCCTTCGGTTGTCTCCAGTTTTACAACAGCGGTAGCCAGCAATGGTAGTCATGAGTCAGAGGGTTTATTTTGATCACTCTGCATTTTGGTTCGAGATTGTTTTTCGGATGGTCCACCAGCACTCTCAGAGTTAGGACGTTTACGGTCAGATGCGCCGTGGATCAGAGTGTGATGCAATCCTTTGCAATGACGACATCGATTTACAGAGCGACAATTTTGAGCTTGGTGTCCTGTTCGAAGGCAGTTGAAGCAGAGTCGTAATTCTGTAACCGTTTTTCGACGTTTTGAAACATCGAGACTTTTAAATTCTGAACAGCTGCCAACGAGGTGATTATTACCACAGACGGTACAGTTCTCTTGACCAGAAGACAAGGTCATTACTCGCGGTCGTCCCTGAGAAGCCGTCGTTGAGTTTGACTTACTCTTAATCAGCGTGGAATCTGAAGCTCGAGGAAGTTCAGTCGCGTGAAGTACTCGGATTCGTCCTTGGAGAAAAGTTTCAACACGGATGAAATCTGGAATTCGATCAGCTTCCCGTATTTCATTCTCCCAGTGCTTACGAGTCGTCATGTCCATGCCGTAGGCTGCGATGAACGTAAACCAATCGTCCCATTGGTCGACAGGACGGCCGAGAGTTCTGAGTGAGTCTCGCTTTCGTACTAGAGTGTCCAGCAGCTCTTGGAGGTTTGAGCCACTTTCTGCTTTTGCTGGTTTGATTGCCAGTAAGGCTGACAAATGATCCTGCACCAAGAGGCGTTTGTTATCGAAACGAGCCAATAATAGACTCCAGGCTGTAGAATAATTCGCGTCGGTAACGGAAAGTCCGTCTAAAGCGCGTCGCGCGTCGCCCTGTACTGCTCCCTTTAGGTAGAACAACTTTTGAACAGCTGTAAGGTGCTCATCAGCATGGACAAGAGCAAGAAAAAGATCCCGGAATGGTTCCCAATCCTCACGTTTTCCGGAAAAAGTTGGCAAGTTAATTCGCGGCAGCTGACGGTGGGAAAGACCGGTAGCAGGTGAAGACTGGTGCTCCCCAACTGATGCTATTGTGTTTAAATGAAGTTGGCGATCATATAGACGGCCTAATGTTTCGGTGACGGTCAATGCGACAGTGTCAAACATGCCTTCAGTAAGATACGCTTCCTCGGCGATGCCTTCCTTAGTGACCAGTTTCAAATGATTGCGCTGCGCACGTTCCCAATAGCCCTGGAGTAGCTCAATGCGGCTCTGGACAGCGCCCGCGGTGATCTGCTCGACACCCTCGTCTAGGCATCGGGCTACGCAACTGTTAATCAACGTGATGAGCGAACCCTGGGTAGCTAATAGAGTACGCATCGCGGCGTCGAAAAGGGTTGCTGAGAAAAAAATTACTAAATAAAGTTAACCGTTAGACAGGAAAGACGTTTTTTGCATGTCACAGAACTATGCAGCGTTTTCAGGGCTTCTGTATGGCTTGTTTATTCATTTTTTTATAAGGTGTTTGGGTCTCTGAAAGCGAGCGAGTAAGGTACCCTTTTTTACTTTTGCCCTCGGCACTCGCTATCATGAGCTACAGTGTTTGGGTCTCCGTAAGCGAGCGAGTAAGGTACCCTTTTTTTACTTTTGCCCTCATCGCTCGCAATCAGAAACTATCAACACTTTGTTGAAAAAAAAAAAAAAAAAAAAAAAAAAAAAGAAAAAAAAACATGTGCCTGCCCTAAGACGGCTGCGTCTGTGACAGCGATGTCAAAGAAATGAGAAAAGAAAACCAAATGCCTTCTCTGAGGCGGCTGCGTCAGTGGCAGCGATTTCAACCAAACTGCCTGCCCGGAGGCGGCTGCGTCAGTGGCAGCGATTTTAACCGAAATGCCTGCCCTGAGGCGGCTGCGTCAGTGGCAGCGATTCTAACCGAAATGCCTGCCCTGAGGCGGCTGCGTCAGTGGCAGCGATTTCAACCAAAATGCCTGCCCTGAGGCGGCTGCGCCAGTGGCAGCGAATTCATCCAAAATGCCTTCTCTGAGGCGGCTGCGTCTGTGGCAGCGATAAAAAAAGAGAGAAAAAAAAAGAACCCGAAAACGGTCTACCCCTTCTATTATCCGGCTCGAAGGACCAAAAAATATGTTGCGAAAAAAATAGAAAAATAAAAAAAGGGTGGGATCTTGGATTGCGAATAGAGAAGGGTCGACAATAAACGGATTCGTCGATTAATTAAAAAATGTATATTTCCTTTTAACCTTTTGGTTTTCACAAACGTAGAATTTAACAGCGTAAGAACTTACAAAAAAAGAGTTGAAAATTGAATAGTATGTTGCACGTGGCGAATGGCGTCGTTGAGACTAGAGGTTCCCACGTGGCAAAAATGGCGGCAGGTGACGCTCACGTCAGCACAGGTGACTCTCAGCTCCACTCAGCAAGACGAGAGAAAAGTAACTGAGCAGTTTGGCACCGACATCGGAAAAAGAGGGGGACAGGATCTGGGCGGAACCTTTGACACGTCACGAGAGCGATCGACCAATCCCAGACATAATGAACAAGAGGCCAAAAAGGCGAAGAATAACGAGAAACAACGAGAGCATCCAGAATTGGACTCTCCCTAACAGAAAAAACCATAACAACTAATTTGGATGAACAAGGTGAATTTTATGATTTCATGATTTCTGAATCAGAATAAATAATTATTTTAAAGAAATTAAATGTTAATTTTATTATTTTAACAATTAGCGGCTTTAAAATAGTGTAATTTCTCAAAGAAAAAAGAAAAAAATAGCTTTTAGTGGCACAAACTCAAAGAAAAAAAGAAAGAAAAAGCTTCCAGTGGCACAAATGTAATAAAAAGTATCCAAATACTATCAAACCGTAAAAAAAGTAGTTAATAGTAGGTTTTAGTAGATAAATATTTTTTCTGGTAACCAAATGAATTTTACTTATTAAAATGATTCAAATATTTACTTGAATCAATGAAACTATTCTTATCCTTCGGAGAATACATGGGGTCTTTTTGACTCCACACTTTTTTACAAAAAGCTTTTTATCTTTTTTTAATATTTTTAATAAGGACTTTCAAGTATACAGACTTATTCTACAGAGTTTAAACTATAATTTAAAAAATTCTTCAGCTTGATTAGATGAGCAGTTTAAAATTGGTTGAGCTTTGAAAAATAGTCTAAAAAAGAGGTGTGTTCTCCGATGGTTATCGTAACAAATAAAATTCATACAAAAAATAACAAACAAAATGAAGAATTTTTATTTTTTTTTAAGGGTTTAATTATCTTTCCACAAAAAGTAAAACAATGTTTTTGATATGAAGTTAAAACAAATGTGTCATTATGGTAACAGGGAATAATTTTTAGAGGGATTTCGGAGAGAGGGGGGGAGGGGATTATGCTCTCTTCTGGGAATATATGCTCAAGTTACGTCACCCTTTTAGTCTGAAAGTCGTCACCCTTTATTCCTCCGCCAACCCTTCATTTAATTTACATAAAGAATCCGATAAGAAGACTTTTGCCGGTTCGCGGTAAGAAAGTGCAATTATTTACACGAGCCTTTTACCAAGTTCTCTTGCATGTTTAAAGCTGATTGGAATAATCAGTGGTGCCAAGGCTTGAGCGCACGTTTGCAATTATATTTCCTTGCCAGACAGTGCTTTTAACGGTTTTTTGTTTTTATTTTTTATTTTATAACTTTCTGTCAATTAAAGTAGGTATCTTACGGTGACGTATTTCTTTTTCAACTCGGAAGTTGACTATTTGGTTATTTGTTTTCTTTGTGAGAATTTAGTTTGTGCTTTGTATATTATGTACAAAGTAACATTCTTAAAAGAATGTTTTCGAATTAGAATTTATTACCGCAGGTTCTTTATTTTTTTCTCTCTTTAAATCGGAACTTGTGGAAATGTTTTGTAAATTGAATTTGTCACTAATTCGTTGCTTTTCAATTAGTTGTAATCCTAATTAGCGATTTAAAATAGTGATTAAAATTTTGCTGTCGAATTACTTTGAATTTGAACTAATGTGAACTAATCTGGACTAATTTTCATAAATTTGGACTAATTTGTACTAATTTAAATCAATTTGAACCAATTCGAACTAATTTTTTAATTTTTGAACTAATTTGAACCAATATGAACTAATTTGAAACTAACTTATTTGCTTATTGAATTAATTATTTACTAATGAATTAGTAGACATTTTTAACTATTTATTAGAACAGTTCAACAAATTCAAAAATATCAATTGCTTAATGAAATAATTAATAATTTTTTGCTCGGAATTAATCAGTAAAGAATAAAATATATATTAATTAATAATGACCAATTTTTCAATTTATTTTGGTTAATTTATTTAATTAATTTATTAATTTAATAATTTAATAATAATAATTTAATTTATTTCTTCTAGTTAATTTATTTTTTATTAGTGAAATTATTATTTATATTAGAATTAAAAGTTCCATTAAACTATTGCTATAGGATTTTTATAAGGAAGAAAAGAAATAATAAATGAAATTTGCATACGATGTCGAGTATATATCTGATAAGTAAATTCAAGAAAAAATCAACTTTCCCGAGAACGGAATTGTCGATTCATTAATTCTGGAAAATTAAAAGAAAATTAATTGTCGACTTGTATAGTCTGGAATGGGTGATGAATGATCAAGAACGATCGGCGGAGAAATTGAGTAAAAGGGATGGGAAGAGAAACTGCTTTATGGAGAAATATTTCTCACGTTTAAAATATTTTCATTTTAATAGTGTCTGTTAGTAAGAATCATTTTTAACTTACCTGAAAGCCTCGTTATTCCACTCTTCTAAAAGATTTTCTTACTTTATCGTTTACATAAGAACAACGTCAAAAATATTTTAATAATAATATTTTAATATTTAAACCATTTTTCTGAATCTATTTGTTTCTTATGTTTTAGTTCTTAATTTTATTAACTATTTTATTTTATAATCCTACGATAATATTGAATAATATCCGAATATTAAAACTATTTTTCGAAATGTATTCGTTTTATTTTTAATTATTAGTTTTAAGTATTAAATTTTATATAATTTATTATTTAACAGTAGTA